ATATAACATTTTAGACACATTCTAGACAGTTTATCAGCTAAAAAAAGTTAATTTTGGGGTAAGTTACTCTTTAACAGAGGGCAAAAGGACCACCGGGAGGAGCCAGAGGACTTTTTTCCCCCAGAGATCAATCTGTCATGACATAGTGACAGTTTTAACAAATATGTCAAAAATATATTTTTTAAGAAGTTACAGACGGCAGCTTTAACAGAGTGCCTGGCTGTAAATGCTCACCATTTGATTGACCAAATGTCTGCCGAATATATTGGAGCAGTCTAACTATCGTAACAGTGTATTTAATAATTTTCAAAATTTGTTGTTTTGTTCTCTGTGCTTGATTTCGCTTAGTTTACATTTTTTTTATTGAGTCTGGAGTAACGTGACAGAGCCATTAGCTTTACTTTGAAAAGTTGCACAAACATATTTAAACCCCATAAATACTATTCTTTCTTCATTTCAAAGAAACTATAAAATTAAAATTCGTAATACCAAATTTAAAGACATAAAAACTAACTTTAACCAGGCAAGTTAACGGGTAGGACCCGTATGTTTGCTAACATTTCTGCACAGCTGCGCGTGTGACCTAGCATTTAGCTCAAGCTTACAAAAAAAACATGAACTTTACAAAGTTATGAAATATCTTCTCACCATGTCCGAGTCACTGTTCACATGTTGGAACATGAGAGAAGCTAATACAGTTCCTGACAACCGGAGAATGGGCTCCGCCATGTTCAAACTACAAAAGGCGAACAACAACGGTGGCCGCGAAGTCCAAAACACCGACAAAACGCAACAAGACGGGTACTAAACAACAACAAACAAGTGAACTGGCTCAATCAAAACTACGACCTAAATATCAGAAATTATTTCGGAAAACTTAAAGACAACCTCAAATATCTAATTTATTTTGGTTTTATGTATATGTTTGAAAAAGCCCGATTTCAGTTTCTTTTTTTATGTTTTATCAAGAAATTGTAGTTCCCCAGCTATTTTTGTGTTTTCTCTAAGGTGTGTGTGGTTTTTTTGTTACCTCTTCAAGACATTTCCTGATTCTGTTCTAAATAAATAAATAAATAAATAAATAAATAAATAAATAAATAAATAAATAACATGTTTCTATAAACAACATTAGATGTTTCTTGTCAAAAATATGATCTTTATAAAAATTCAATGTAGGCCTAATGTTGAAATAAATTGAATTTTATATTAATCTTGATTAAATTTCAAGAATGAAATGCGTAATCTGTATTTCTAAATCCAGAAGCAAAGTTCCTCATTATATTCAGCCAAAGTACATATTATGAGTGAAATTTCTTGAAATGCATTCATTTTCTTTGCTAAAAAAGCTAAAAAATGTAGTGTTCAGCCACAATGGCAGATGAGCTAAAATTTATATAATTATTATTTTCTCAAATAATAACTAAACTCAGCCACGTTATAACAGATTTGACTAATATGTCAGCAGCAGTGTTGATGGTTCTCAGATGAGAAAAGTTAGTTTTTCTTTAAAGCAGAAGCTCTATTGCCAGCAGAAGGCTTTGGGTCATCTCCTTATAAAAAGGGAGTCAGATGTTTGATTAATCTTTGAGTTGTGTGTGCACCACACAAACAATGCTACAATGATTTTTGTAAAAATCCCCCACCTGTTTTTAAAGCAAAGCCTATGAGAAAACAATGATACTTTTGATTGTCAGAGATTTAAGAAACATCTTTTTTGTACCTTTTATTCTAAAAAAAATACTTAACCTGGAAATTTGTGTTTTTAACAGTAATTTATTGTCAAAAAGAAAAAAATTGTATAGGTCCTCTGGACGGGTTCTTCTCTAATGAAACGTTTCGTCTCTCCTCCAAGAGAC